ACACACACACACACACACACACACACACACACACACACGCTTGAGTGCATTCAGGATCACTCAACCACTCCGGCTTACGCAGCCAGTTAGGAAGGAGGGGCAGAGAAAGAGATGGGGGACAGAGAGAGGAGAAAGATGGGGAGGATGTCAGAAGCAGACAGATGGAGAGAGGAAGAGCAGGAGAAAGTGAGACTAGAAAAGAGAGGGAGTGTGAAAATGCACGGTCACACTGGTGGGCGGTAAGGTGTGAGGACTCAACAGCTCACCAGCATCAGAGCGAGCCAAATTTCAGCTGCCCTGCATCTATTCAAAGAGAAACTGCCATGGCAACACACAAGCACACACGCACATCTCTGTGCTGACAGCCCTCACATACACTGTAACAACCTACATTGTTAGTACAGTGTTTGAACATCTGTTTGTAGCCATGACCACAAAGCATACAGTCGATCAGCACTTCATAATATAGTCATTTATGCGCTTGGTGAAAAAGCTGACGTCACTTTGAAGCAGCGAGCACGCACATGGGCAAGTCTCTTCTTATTTGTCTGTGTCACTCTCGCTTACACAGAAACACAGCAACGATGTGTCAGCGTCCCTGCTTCCTTCAGGGCATCGGCCCAAATGTGAAATCCATAGTCTTGTCCATTCCCTCAAGAGATCAGGTTACGTCCAACACTTCCAACTACACACACATATACACATAGATGAAGGGGCTCAGGTGGTCTGCTGCAGTGGGCTCATACACACCCACACAAACTTTGTAAAACATGATGCAGCACTGCAGCAGCAGACAGCAGAGGCCGACGAGTCGAGAAGTATAAGCCAGACATTAAAAAACAAAAAACAAACAGGCAGTGCTTAAAAAATAGATGAGACCCATTGATCTGGTAGCATATAAAGAGCTGCAAAGCCACGGCGTAAACACTCTACCGATTTCCTTCTCTTGTTTTCTTTTGGTTGAATTGATGCTCGCTGGTTGGCATTGCATGCAGTCTTATTTTGTGCTTGCTCAGACACAAATATGAACCTGGGGCAAGTCATTTCAATAAAAAGGGGTGTGTTTGCATTGTGAACTCATCAAGAGTAGGAGTTTTTAATGCCACACTATATCCTAGAGGTATTCTTTAAGGCCCTTCCAGCAGAATATAACAATAATTCTTACTTATGTAATTAATTATGGGCCGATTATCCGCCAATGTCAAAATGTCAGCCTTCAAAATGCTCTAAACACTTGGTTTCTGATGCTTCTTCTAGAGTTCTACTATTCAAGTAGAGTGAAAAAACAAAAATGCAAAGCCAGAAATTAGCATTGTGGTGAAGTAAAGGGGGAAAAAAAAAACCCAAACATATTGCCTGCTGTCTACAACAGACCATTTTTGATGAAAATAGATGCAGATGCCCCCCAAAGAACCCCAGGCTCCAAAATGAAAATGGATATATGCAAAAGCCTCATTTAAGTACTTTTCCATAATTAAATCATCCACTTTAGACAAATGAAATCATTATAGTGCCAATCATTTTTCCTTCTTCGTTATCATTTGGTTACTCGGTCAAGCTGAACAGTAGGTTTACATCTGCCACCTGTTAGGGAATAAAAAAAAAAAAAAAGCCCACAGTGGGTGCAACAAATTGCACGAACACCACATGCTAAAACACACACAGACACACAAACCAGCCATGTGTGATGCACCCTGCACGAAGGCTGAGAAAAAACTACATATGCATGCCCCCACCCCACTGGCAGCTGGGAATGGCTTCCTCCGTTACTACATTTCCCATGTCTCCCTTGGTCTTTGCTTCTTGGTCTTTGCTTCTGTCCATAACCCCTGCAGCTGGTGTGCGTTTGCCTCTCATGACACAGACCCCTCTTCCTGGCACGCCAGCTCCTGCATTCCTGCTGTGTCATTAACGCGCACACGTTTAAATAATTTTTTTCATTTCAGAGAGGTCTCCGTGGCTGCAGCTTGCATGTCTTTGGGACAAGTCGGAGAGACTGTTTCAAGGACGTTTCTTTTTAAGAACATCCGCCTTCCATGAAGGCGTTGCCAAGACAACTGTGACCCAGAACAATCACTCGTTAACCGTGCCCCCAAAGCACGTGATGGACATGTTGGAAGGAAACTGACAGCTGAGTGTGAACTTTAGAGGCAGCCCCACTCTAAACACAAGACAGTGACACACACTGTGTCACCACTCCCTGACAGACACAAAAGCATCCCTACTTCCTGGAACAGTTTAATTCCAGGGCGAGGACACTTCCTTCTTTAGGCCCCAGGCTGCATCTCTGCAAGGGGCCCTCTTAAATATCCAGCTCTCACATACATTTGTGTGTCTGGCTCTTTCTCTCTTCACATTTTCCTCCCTTTTTTTGTTTAGACATTTTTTCATTTTTCAAATACATTGACCAGACCTCTCTTTTCACATCTGATTTAAAAAAAAAAAAAACATGAATAGGAACACTGTATGCAATCCTTTGGACAAATGGAAAACACATTAGGTACTAAATTTGGAAGGGCTTCAGGTAATAGACAGTGCCATGAGTGGATAAAGGGCATTACTGTACAAATAACAGCATCAACAAAGAGGAGATTGTTTCTGTCCTGTGTCCCACTCTAGCAGAAATCATCTGCAATCAACAATAACCCAACCAGACTGGGATCAGAAGATTTGAATTAGCTTGTTTTTGTGAATCACTTCAATAAACAAAAATAATAAAAACCAGTGTGGAAAATAGCAGCCAGCAAGCCGTAATATTTGCAGAGCGCCTTTTCTTTTTTTTTTTTTCCCCTTACAAAGCTGTTCTTAAACTTCCTGGATCTTGTTGTTTTATTCCAGTCTGTTATGGAAAAAAAATCAGAGGTGTGAATGTCTGTAGTCATCTGTGCATTTACTAACATCTGTGTGGTTAACACAGTAGCTAAAAATAGATTAGTTTGCATATGTGCAACTTTTCAGAAAATAAGTACAGTACTTGATCTGTGGGGGTGGGAGAGTAACGTCAACAATCTCAGTGTAAATTAGAGTGGAAACTTTTGAGACAACAGATTGCAAATTCAACACAGATCTGCAACAGTGAGAGAAATAAAAGCTTACTGTGAGGAGCATCTCTTACTACAGACCCCAGCCGCGGCTCGACTCACATGGTTCCACTTAAATCGGGAATTATCTCCTTCGGCGAGGAAGACTCTCCCCTGACAAGATCCTCCGAGGCTTTACTTCTCTTTGATTTGGCTTTGATTTTCAAGGTCCTCTGAATCAAGGCTTTGAGGAGGGGCAAAGCCTCCCTCTGTGCACCCCCACTTGCTCCAGCTTTGTGAAATAAACATGGCCCCACACTGTTAACTTAGAAAAAACTGTAAACCAGTGACACGACAGGCGATATGATGGTTTGAGCACATGGTGCGCCAGACATGCATGTCAGGGGCACTGCAATAAAACAGGCATTTGAAACCACCTTAAATAGAACTTCTCTTTGACTTTGCTACGCAAAGTCAAAGTCACAAAAAACAACAATCTGCGTGTGTGATGTGTGCAAAGAGGTTTCGCAAAGCTTACTGGCAGCAGCGTCAATAACAGTTTTTCCTTTTTCCTACACTCAAGAGTTTATAACCCACAAAAAGTAGTCACTCTGCTTTACAGGAAGTCTTACCTCTGAAGTGGCTTTTCCTTCTTTCTATTGAGGTTAAAGGTCAGATGACACTGCCACTTCACTCTGGGGCTGTGGAAACAAAGAGAAGAAGAAATTCGATTAGATATGATTTAGTGCCTATTTTGAGTTGCAATGGCAAAATACAATCCCCGCTTTTGGTCACCTCATCGAAAGCTATTAGTCAGTGAAACCCCAAACTTGTGGATCGCCTCCTATTGCTCTCACTGCGCTGCAGGAAGATCGAGAGGCACGGCTGCCAGCAGCTGGAGACGAGCAGGGTGATTTCACTGTCACAAGAATGCAGGGGATTAACCGGAGGGTGCTCGAGAGCGAGCGATTTAACCAAGCGCAGACTTAAACGCCGCGCGTGGCCAGAGAAATAAAGCTCTGAAAGCAATCAAGTGCGGTTCGCTCTCCATCATAAACGCTCTCCATCATTACGGCGAGATTAACAATGTGACATTTGAGCTGTGGAGGCCGCCTTCATTTTACTACAAAGCATTTCCCGCCAGTACACGCATGAACACACGTGTGCAGCTAAAACCTAATAAGCATGTCTAACCGCCACAGGCTAATCATTTCACAGCGTGAGTCAGAGTAGAAACCTTGTCAAAACTCTTAGGTGTGCACCGACTGTGACTCACCAGTCACCGGCGATAATGCTGACTAGGCTTTAACCATTTCATTCGCAACACCGCTGAGTCACACCAGCCCATTTTTTCCCCTTTTTTAAGATCTAAAAATCAATCTAGATGTTTAATCATAATCTGACAATGAAAAATAATGGTAGTATAAGGTTAGAACATGCTGAGCAAGACAGGAAATATAAATGCTGTATATTGGTGTGCATTACTGTGTGTGTGTGTGTGTGTGAGAGAGAGAAAGAGAGGCCGGCAGCTGATGTTATGGCTATTCCCGCTGGTCTCAGCTGTTCCTTCGTTTTTCTACGCACCAACTGTTGTTGAGCCACAGCATGAGGCCCCTCCCGGGAGCAAAAACAGAAAGAGGAAAAAACCTGACCTGTGTAACTGCGTGTGTGTGTTTTCACAGCAAACAGACTTCATGTAACAAGGGAAGAGTGTTAAAGGGGATGAAAGATCTCATGGGTGCGTTGTGCACATGCACGGCATTACTGACACTTGCATCTTAAAAAGACAAACAAACAATAAAAAACATATTGCCTGCTCAAATTACAGATCACCCTCCCCCCACCATTTCTGTGTAATTTGCACACAGTCGACATGTGATATCACTCAGTCAACACAGGGCCATTGAACAGGTGCGGCAGTGACACACGGGCCTGTGCAGCTGCAGGGGGGGGACACACACAGTTGTTTCAGTCACAACAGCGCGGCGGCCGGTGGGGCAGCTGCTCCACGGCTGAAAACAAAGGCAGGCCTGCGTCACATGCACAGACAAACATGACCAAGTTATGATGGAGATGCACTGTATGGAGGAAGAGGAGGGTCTTTCTGATGTGAACAGACAGTGTTGTTGTAGAGTTGAACCACGCATTTAAACAGATGTTGCTATGAGCGGTATAAAATGGTCAGGTAAGTGTGCCGTTATGGACCCAGTGTATTAAAAAAAAAGCAAACAAAGAAACCCCCCCCCAACAAACAAACTAGTAACTACCAAACAACACTGTCTTCCTTTGACTGGAAACTCAAGTTGTTAACTGGGCACTACAAAAAAACCCAAACAAAAACCCCCACAACTGCCCCCAAAAAAGTGCTCTGCGTCTCGCTGTCAACAACATCAGCAGATTTTTTTTTCCTTTCATTATTTTTTATGTGCTTTACTTTGGTGCCCCATTCAACACCAGACTGAGGGGAAACACAGAGTCCAGTGTAGTGGACACAGGTGTGTCCTTGTCCACCCACACTTCCCCGATTAGCAGCACTCCTCTGGGGCGGCTCATTTCCTATCGGGCCAGGAAGTGGGAAGAAGGGCAGTGCAGTCGGAGAGCATGGAGTGATGATGTCACAGCAGGAAATAAAGACTCAGATTGTTGTAGGTGAAATGAGCAAGCGGGCGAAGGAGTTAGAGGGCAGGGATAAATGCATGACACATGTGCACTACGCTTCTTGGTAACTATATCAAAGCCACAATCTGTGACTCCAGCATGAGCAACAATCTGACTCTGACATGCAAACTTTGACACACAAAGACAGCTGAAGCAGACTGTTCAAAGTTTTGGTGGACTACGTGCAAACTTGTGTCATATTTAAACAGCCGAATGGTGTTGACAAAACAACACCACTACATTCAAAGCAGCACGCTATCCAGTGTAAAAACATTAACTTTAACATAAGATTAATACATTGCATTGGTATCCAGAATTTGCTGCGTGTCTCACTAGTCAGGCCCCATCTGCTCTGGTTATAGTGGTATATAATCACACGCTGACCTATCAACTCACCTAACCTCAGCTTCACAAACAAAATGTCAAGGTGACACAATACAAACTAGAGATTACTTGTTTTGGGTTTTTTTTGGTTTTTTTTTTAAAGCATTAGGCTCATTTGTGTGGGTTGGAAGACAAGCTATTTTCTGGAAAATTTATTTACTGTATAAAATTTAACTGTTGCAGAACAGATACACACCTTCATCTGATCTCAAAGGACCCCGAGCGTTCTTGTGAGGGCAGATGATCAATCAATCAGCTGCCTTCATGGTTTGATCCAGTGCCGATTCTCACCGGTAAGGCATTAGTAATGGTATGACTGCATTGCATTGATCAAGTCAAGTGCAATTCTGAGAAGTAGCTGCTTTCCTTCTTGCACAGAGGCCAGCATGACCTCCTCAGTGGGTCAGGACTAAAATTACAACTTTTATGTCAGCCGAGGCTGGGAAAGAAAAAAAACCCCTCAAATTACCTTCTTACTACCTTCAAAACTCTATTCATATCACCCTTTTACTCTCAGTACAGGGCGCTGGGAAGACTGCTTTCTAATATTAAAATACTACCCATGTGGGTCCCTAATTTTACTTTTTCTATTTAAACAGCTAAATCCTTATTCAAATTACGGCACCAAGACTCTACTGAAGCTAGAAACACAACCTGCCCTGCTTAGCAGCTTTTCCCAGTGGTTACGATCACTCACAGGCTTCTTTAGCAATACCCACTCACACACGGCCAAGTCTGGTTGCAATTACAAGGAGCTGATCTCCTCTCCTCTGTGGGATTCTCCACGGCCCATGCAGTGAGCACTGGTCTCTGGAAAAACCACACATGGTGGGAATTATGGAATAACGCTGCATCAGGAATGTTCCCACGATGGCCACTGGGATCTGATGGAGGTCCCACCGGCTGGCTAGCTGCCGACAGGGTTTATTGGCAAATGTAATGTAACACTCACACACATACAGAATTACATGATGAAATGCCTCTTGTGTTAGCGCACAGCTGGATCAAAATGGTCCTTTGTTTCAAAACGTTTTTGCACACTTGTCATTTAAGTGCACACAAATCCGTGTGTTGAGCTCTCAGACTTCATCATTAGCACAGCTTGATCACAGCTGATCAGCTTAAAGCCTGAAATCTCACTTCTTATTTACACCATTTCATCTGAATAATCTCTTGATGGGGATGACCAAAAAGCAGTGAGGGGTGAAGCTGACAAATCAAACATGACAGTGACCCTCCCTGTCACCCCAAAGGCATGTTGCGGTGACAATCTCAGGGGCAGCTCTCGACTCATACACCGAGTATGGTTGACTGTGTGGCACGTGGGTCAAAATAATCAGGACTCTCTAGAGAGTGAAGATCAACGGAGCAGAGAGAGATTAGCAAGCTACTCAGCCACGAACTTAACCCAGAGATGCAGTCAATAGGCGCTTGCGCTCCCTTGCTGAGCTGCCAGGGTATTAGTGAATGAGATTTGCCAAGAGGCAGTCACACAAGCACCCACGCACACACACACACACACACGTTATTTTGTGAGATTAAGCCTGTAGGTTTGACTAACCGTCCGGGGATTCTCTCAGAAAAATGTGTCAATCCACTTTTACCGCACAGAGCACGGCTGTTTTCACTCACTGCGCTGTAGGTCACTGCAGTTACTAACTGAAACTCTAGATTCCTTCAGTGTCCTACATGAACCCTGATGTTAACACGCAAAAAAAAAGGAGGAAAAAATGGAGCAGCCTGCCAAGATCAGTCGGTACAGTAATGCAGAAACTGAAGCCAAGCGTTGTGAAAAAGTGACTTCCAGACATTGGCAAAGGACGCGAGGATAGGAAGACTGACCTCAGTGTTTCCAGGCTGTCGTATTTCATATGACATCAGCTCCACTGAACAATATTTTATAGGTTCTCATGAACCCCTCTCATCTGTCTTCTTCCTCCATATGCTACTTCTCTCCTTCAACTCTCTTCCTCACAGGTGTTTCTTTGACTTCCCAAAGTCTTTTTGGCAGCCTGTATAATTGTGAAGTAAGTGTCACGGGGATGTGTGGTGAGCCCTGTGGCAATGAGACAAGGACAGGCTGCTTTCCAGTCCTTTTGTAAGTACCACTTGCAGAGAGTAGTTACTTACTAAAAAGACATGAGCTGGGGTAACTTTCATGATTACGGAGGAGGGTGTAGCTACAACATCTGAGAAGGGAAAGTAGGCTACAGTGCATATTTAATGGTAAAGCAGGACTTTTAAGCCCCAGTTTTTGCTGCGCTGCTTGTTTGCTGCTTGAACAGAAACACTTGAAAGAGTTGGAGCATTTCAATAATGTAGGGGTGCATCTGTTTCTGCTTTTACTGTATGCAATGCAAACAATATCCTTACTTAATATAAACTAGTGGGTTCCACTTAACTAATGCCTATGTGAACTTTTTGCCCACAAACTGAGCAGCTTAGCTGTAAATACATGTTTCGTTTAATAACTTTTGCCTGACTGTACAGAACTCTTCTGCAAGAGCAGAGACTTGTGAGTCTGTTAATGTTTAACTTTAAATTTATAATTTAGTAGTGCTGTAATCATGATGTTATTTATGTTGTGTTTAGACTTTGATTTCTCAGGATTTGTACTGCGGTTTTAGTGTTTGTGAGAGTTCAGCTTAGCAACAGGCCACCAAATGTTCACAATTATTATAAACCCATTGTTCTTGTACTCGTGCGGGGTATGGGTCACAGGAACAGAAGAAAACCTGAGTTTATGGTCTCTTAAAACCAAATGTAAATATTGCAAAACTTTCTAAAAACTAATTAAGCTACTCATAGTGATACTTTCCAAGTCTATGCAACCACTTTGTCAGGTAAACCTGTTCAACTGCTTGTTAATGCAAATAGATAATTGGCCAATCACATGGTAGCAGCTGGATGCATTTAGGCATGTGGACATGGTGACGATGCCCTGCTGAAGTTAAAATTCTGCAACAGAATGAGGAAGAAAGGTAATTTAACTGGGTTTGACCATAGCAGTTGATGCCAGACAGACTAGTCTGAATGTTTCATAAACTGAAAACAAATATCCAGTGAGTGCCAGTTCTCTGGCTGAAAATTGATGCCACTTGCTATAATCAAGGTAAGCAGAAGAGCCTCTAAACTCACAACGTGTTCAGCTTTGAAGCAGATGGGCTAAAGCAACAGAAGAGCACACTGGGTGCCACTCTTGTCAGCTAAGAGCAGGAAACTGAGGCTACAGTTTACACAGGCTCACCAAAACTGGACAATGAAATAAAACGCAGCCTGGTCGAATGAGTTGATTTCTACAGAGACACTCAGATGATAGGGTCAGAATTTGGCATAAACAACTGATCCATCCTGGCTTGTATCAACAGTTCAGGCTGAAGGTGACAGTATATTGGTGTAGGGGATATTTTTTTTCACACATTTTGGGGCCCTGTAGCAGCTGAGGATCATTTAAGCATCATAACCTACCTGAGTGCTGCTGCTGACCACGTCCATCCCTTTTTTTCCACAGTGCATTCATCTTCTTACAGCTGCTTCTAGCAGGATAACACGCGATGTCACAAAGCTCAGAAACGATTTTACTTGCTCATCTGATATCTACATGCAGTTTTTTATTGCTATCAACTCTATTCTGATTTTCTGTTACATTTTAATGTTATTATTCCTAAATTATTATTTTAATTCTACAGCACTTTGTGAGTACATGTGTGTGAAACGTGGTCTATAAATAAACTTCAATTCAATTAAGATATTTAAATGATTCAGGGCTGTATTTAAATAAAGTTAAATGTTATTTGATGCATGCCCCCTGGTAAATGCAAAGTACATTCTTTTATACTAAAACATCATTAAGCAACAAGATCTCAACTGTCCGCCTCTCTGTCTCCCTTGGGTGTGCGGTGTTGCTGTTATTTAATAATTTTGAGGCAACGAGTTTGCATTTTCTTTTAATATGAAACCAACTTATCAGATTTTAACAGTGTGTGTTTGGAGCAGAATACTATTTGGAGCTCAAGTGGATGACAAATTAAATTGCGTGCATGCCTGAGTTTGGAATATATTTTCTATTTGCAGCAAGATTTTGTTTTTTTCCAATGCTTCAGACATACCACAACTGCCACTGTAACCATACACACAAATCTGACACTCCATCACAATGCAAAGCCATCCTTTACCTCCCAAAGGAGACTCCTAGAAAGAACACTGTATCTGCTGTAACTACATCCTTGGTTTTCTCTGACAGTCTTATAATGCCAATATTGTTAGTGTTTTCAAAGTGGTAAATAAACCCAGATCCTCAGTGGATTTCCCTGGTATGTAACCCGGAGGTCGATGGTTAGAAAGCAACTGTACAAGCAGGCGTGCGCTCCTCCAAACAGAGGCAATCTAAACATTTCAGGCCCAAAAGGAAGGCATTTCACAGCTGGGTTAAGGGACATAGTGCAGATGAAATTTGTTTGCATTTGCGTGCGATGCTTCAAACCTCTCAAACCACATCTATGCTGAACAGTTATCAGCTAGAATGCAAACAAACACATCAAGCCTGCATGCACGTGACCACGAGGACACGCACGCTGCTGTCACGGCTTCATGAGAACCAAGTGAACTCTGATCAGACGGGGAGCAGAGAGGAAACACTGAATGGCTCTGCTGATGTTTATCCCAGGCTAGAAATCATGCTGCTAAAAGATTTGACTGTTTAATTTAATTCACTTGCAAAATTGTGAATTGCTTTCACATGCACCGAGTAGGAAATAAATCCACCTTCTCCTTCCATATGTAATTTTTAGGGCTGACAGATCATACGTCACTCCAAGTCTGCACTTTGCACAGTATTCATACTACTCCCGCTCGTCTGAAGCATTTTTTGTTGTCTTCTTGTCTAAGAGGCATTATGAACTTCTAAAGGCTGTCCATCCACACAGACCAGCCATCTCATCCATCAAACAGTCCCGTGACTGTTGTGGCCTTTGGAATCACCCTACGATACGATATTATCACACTACTTCACTCCCGATACAATATATTTGTGACAGCATTTTGCAGAGAGTATTGCAGTAAGATATATTGTGACTTATCTTTTTTAAACTG